GAGTTGCCGCCATGTGATTGGCTGATTAGAAATTAAGTGTTAACGAGCAGTTGGACAGGTGTACCTAATAAAGTGGCCGGTGAGTGTATATAAATCAATACAACTTTTTAATAGTAACAATCATAATGTGATGGACTTGCGACCTGTCCAGGGTGTACCCCGCCCCTCGCACTGTGACTGCTGGATATGGGCACCAGTGACCCACGCGACCCTGAAAAGGAAGAAGCATGTACAGAAAATGGATGGATGGATGGACAATCATAATGTTTCATAAGATCCACAAGCAACAAAATTGAAATTCGTTGGTGCCTTAGTTTGCATAGACAGTTTTAAAATGGATGCAAATACACTCCTAACTTGTGCAAAACCCCATAGTCATAAAGTTTTATTCTACAGTTTATCACCATCATCTTTAAATATTTTTAGATGAATAGAAATGCAAAATTGTGACACTCTGGAATGGTTCTCACAGTGTGTTGACTGGATACAAACCTGATGGTGCCTTTTGAGGTGTCAGTGTTGTCGGAAATAATTACAATGTGTGTGTGTGTGTGACATGCTCATCAGTAAATGGAAGCGAAGCACACCACATAACCCGGGCGCACAATGGATGTGACAAGACAGGAGACTGAGCAGCAGCATCAGGATTTCTCATTCCACTGATCACAAAGGTAATGGATTAGGCCCCGCAGTGTGGATGGAGCTGGCAGGAGAGGATGACAGACAGGGAAAACATGTGGGCGTCTGAAAGAGTGAAAAGCAGGGTGAGTCAGGCCTTCCTCCAAGTTCAGTGGCTAAACTTCTCCCTTCGCTCTCAGAATCCTGATCACTTCACACCTCATCTTATTAACACCCTCACAGTCTATTGACTCACATTTTTACATGTATTAGTCATCAGGTTGCCCCCACAGCTCTCTGAYGACATGATGTGGCAAAATGAGGAACTACATTTTATTCTCAACACGTTATTCAAATAAAAAACAAGCGCAGTTTAAATTTTTATTACATTACCTGTACAACAAATTACATAACAGACAAAATAAAAACATTAACAAGAATAACAAAAAGCACAATCCACTTTCTTAGGCTTTTACGCCATCAGCTGAAGTTTTGCTTCTCTCACTAGAACAGTAAGTGATTAATGGTAAAGCATTGTTCGTTTCAAAAGTATTAAGAATGACTTCACAAATATTTATACAATCATCAAGCTATGTTTAGTCACGATGTGTCACTCAGTCATTTGCCAACTGCGAAGAACATGATCGATATTTAAATCTGAAACTGATTCATGACATATCAAACAAATGACTTTCTCAACTTAAACGTATCAGTCAAATTTCAAACTGCAAATTAAACACTTCAACTGGACCCAACTGACAGACTTTATGTACAAAAGAGGCAACAAAGAAAAACACAAAACCTTTCCACATTTTTTTTCTTCCTTCCAGCAACAAACTGCAAATTCACCAAAGGCAGTTTTTTTTCTCCATACGCCAAATAACATCTTCAAGCACGTTAGCATTAAAGGCAACACAATAAATAAAACAAATGGCACAAAAGGTCTGAACAATCTGAATCGAGAAGCACGACACTTTGTGGAAATATTCACAGGAAACKAAAGCGAGCACGCAACAAATCTTCAGTTGTTGTCCCTCCAGATAACACAGGCTCGAACAACCGAAACAAACAAATCACAACCTAATTACAGTGATGAGTATACAGTTTGTAATTGAATATAGTATTTGTATTTACATGTATTTATACAAATGAGAGCATTAAATGTTGGTTTATTACTATGTTAGGATCAGAACAATCAGATCATATAATGCACTAATAAAAAGCTTGTAAACATGTCTCACTTATATCTTCAACAACGATCAGATTTTGTTTATATTTGCCAGGTTCACAAAGTATTTGTCCTTATTTTAAGGCATAGGTATCAAGCTTAGGAGTGAGCCTAAGTTTTTATTTTAAATAAGCCAGATTTTTGAAGGTTTCACTTCAAAGAGAAAAAAAAACCCTCCGCAGAGTGAAAGAGCTAAATATTCTCATTTGTCTCTGAATCAATGCAGAAAGCTGTACAGTGATCAGATTTCTTCCACTCCGTGCGCAAAGATCATGACGAGGCCGGGCTCCAGGATCATGTCCTCCCCCATATGCTGATTCTCACAGGCCATCACCACCACTGCCTGCTTGCCAGGAATACGCTTGGCAACATAGTTCTCGTAGTAGCGTCTGTTCATCTGCCGTGTCTCGAGCGTGGCCAGTCCCTGCGGCCAGTTACGCTCGTGGGCGTTCTCAATCAGGTCGTTCACGATGGAGAGAGGACAGCCGCTGTCGATGAGCGAGCGTTTGATGACGGCCTGCAGCACAGCGTCCGGAGTGGAGATCATGCCGCCCCAGCGCGTCACTCTGGCTGGCTGCATGGAGTTCACCCACCTGAAGGTACGGTTGAATTAAAGAGCAACAGAAAATTAGAAACTAGGTGGATTTTAAAAAGGACACATGGAAGGACATGGAAACCACACTTACTCCAGTATTTCATTGTACTCGATGCTCTCTTCAAGGTTTTGCAAATTGGGGTTTGCACTACGGATCGCTCTCATGTAGGCTTTTAGCAGCTGTATATCTCGTTTCTGGACATTAAAAACCACAGTCAATTACAAACTACTCAAGATTTAAAGAAGACGGACACACCGCTGCCTTTACCAGGACTCCATTAAATTGAAACAGCTAGCCTGGTAAACACTTTTTACTGTGATCTCTCAATACAATAAAGATTTTGTTCTTATTAAAGCTTCTATTAAATATGATTCGTTGCAAAATCATTGGCCCTCATGCAAGAACATGTTCGTATTYTTATCCTAAATTTCTCTTACTTTTGTTCGTACGAAGGGTTCGTACGAACATGTCACGTCAGATTCAACAAACTCTTCTATCTTCAGGAAAAGTGTGTAAATGAGCTGCGTAAATTCCACCTGTTCGTATCCAGCTGCTCGTGCACGCGAGAGGAGATTAGCATAATTACCACCCCAAAAACACCATATAAGGCTATGTTTCCTGCCTCAGATATCAGGAAGTGTCCATTCATGAAAAATGACAGCGATAATTAAAAAGAAAAACTTTACGAGTTCACAGATTGAAGTCCGTCTGTCAGAGATCCAGAAAAGAAAAACTGTCCTTTTTAGCAGGTCAGCTGTGGAATAAAAAGAGCTGCTAAAAGTATAAACAACTGTGTTAAATCATTTTCATTTATTCAGAAGACACAGCACTGCGCACCGTACCCACCCCACCCCCCGTGCGCGCGCTGTGCGGTCGCAGGTGGTCTCAGACGCGGGTTTGAAATAAGCATTTTAAAATGTTTTCAAAATAAGTCTGTCACTTTGGAGAAAATCCAGGACTCACTGGAGGGATTATGTATCCCCTCTGGCCTGGGAACGTCTCGGAGTCCCCCAGGACGAACTGGAAGGTGTCGCTGAAGAGAGCGCGGGGTCTCTCTGCAGCTGCCCATGCGACCCGATTCCGGATAAGCGGGAGGAAATGGACGAACGGACAATTTATATTGTTAGTCTAAATTATTACATTTAAAATTATAACTCTAATTCAAGCAGAATAGCCTATTGTCAACATAATCATGGAGTGTGATTTATTTTCAACTCAAAATATCTTCAAACTAATGAAATATAAAGTTATTAGGGAGGAAAACCCGTCTGGATAACAGCAGACTGACTGCTGGTAAAATATACGACAGGTCTGGACCACTTGTGAATTTTATTCATATCTGAAAAAAATCTTAGAATATGAAAACATTGGTGAATGCCACAAATTCTCCTAAATCACTCGTACGTACAATTTAAGAACAAATCTGTGCGTACGAACGGTTCTTGCATGAGGCCCAATGAGTCTTATATGAATGCATCAACATCATTTCCAGACAAAACACTTAAAACTTTTTATCCTATGAAATTTTGTAAAACATCATTTATCAGATGCAAAAACTGTTAAAACAATCTTACTTGTTCCCCCAGCTGGTGTTTATGTTCTGCCACAGTTTTCTCCAGCTCTGAAATCTTAGTTTGTTGCTGTTGGACGACGCCCCGCAAGTGTTTGATGCAGTTATGGTTGGGCTGTTCATCTTTGGGCATTTCAAGCCTAAGACAGAAAGAATAACGGGGAACAAAACAAAATATGTAATTCATACTAATTTAATATACATGTATACCCAGCAGGGTAGCTATCAATGTTAAAGGGGTAATATTATGTGTTTCTCAGGCATATATTTAAATTCCAGTGGTGGGCACAGTTCCCCTAAAGCACTAAAAGGGGAACTAAATTTCTTGATTAGTGCTTTAGGGCTTTTGCTAATTTCTTAATTCATTAGTGGATAAATTTATGTGCTAAATTTATAAGCACTAGTTGAGTTCTTTAAATATTATTGATCAACATTATTGTCAGCAGCTGAGGGTGAAAGCTGTCAGACGTGTTGGTCACTTATCCACTAAATCAGTGGTTTTCAAACTGTTTTGTTTCCGACCCACTAAATAAAAGTTGCAGATACTCGTGACCACATAAATTACTTGTTTACATATGAAAACTTTGCTAATAACTCTGTTAAACATGGGAATAATAACAATAAATAAAACTTCAATGATACTTTTTTTTATTCATCGATGATTATTTAAAAAAAAAATTGCAAAAATCATGATGAGAATATTCCACTAGCCTTTCTTTGCATTTAAACTGATGCCTAGAAATCATCTGGGGACCCTCACTTGATGTTTTGTGACCCACAAAGAGGTCCTGACCCCAACTTTGGGAACTACTAAACAAGATGAACTATTAATATTCTGCACACAGAAAATATTGTCTCATGTTGACTCTGAGGAATGTTCCATGGGTCAGCTGGGATTTCAGTGCTTTAAAATTAGCTTTTGCTAAATTTTTAAGTGTGTTAGTGCTTTAGAATTAGGGGACCTAAATATTAAAGTTAGTGCTTTAGGGTTAGTGCAACTAAATTTTGGATTAGTGCTGCCCACCACTGTTAAATTCTATACCATAATAAAGTAACTATGTCACCTTCAATTGTTATTAAAATGTTGTTTATATGTTTAAATAGAAAATAAACTTGACTTCTCATCATATCTGTTTATAAAATTTTTCAAAGGCGAGCGAAATTATATAAGAACCTCCTTCTGTTTCTGTCCCGCCCATTTCAACACGGGCCTGTGTGTGTGCTCTGTGATGAGGAAGCTCAGCTTGGAGACACACACAGAGGAGGAGCTGGTCCCTAAAGGTGGTTCTAGGCCCAACCGGTTGTTTTTGCTCCCCTGCCTGGCTGCCTCAGGACACTACAGGATTACTCAAACATGCATGAATGAGTCAAAGCAAGACTCTGAGCGTGTTTTTGATGACAGGATAACATTATAACATGATATAAAACTCAGAAAAGTGGATTTTACACAATATTGCCCCTTTAAATAAAGTTTTATTATAGGTTTGTGTTCTGTTTTTGTAAACTTGTCATCATTTACAACAAAGGTAACTACAGAGTTTGTCCATTTTTGCCACCTACCCGCATCCCTCCTCACAGCTGACAGGCCTTTTGGGGTTGTGCTCACAGTCCTTGAGGTGCGACTGCAGCTGGTCCAGCCTTAGTGTAGCTGTACAGCCAAAACTTGCGTTGTCACAGCTGATTTGGAGTTTGGAAAGCATGTTGCGCATGATGCGGGGCACGGGCCGGAGGTGAGCAAGAGTCACCACCGTGCGGTCAACAGGACAGATCTGTTGCTGGGCGAACCACTGTGTTATGCACGCATTGCAGAAGGCGTGCTCACAGTGTGGAGCCTGCAGTGAAAGCATACAACAGGACACACAAAGACATTACTCAAACAGCACAATCAGCTAATAGTGGGGGAAATTTGCCGCTGATACTTGCCTGCACTGGTTCCTCAAGCACCCCGCTACATATGGGACACAGCAGGTCTTCATCTACCTCACCCTGGAATCTGGTAATGTCGTACCCCATGGTACACTACCCACAACCTCCTGAGCAACACAACATCCAAACAACAACTTTAAGCATTTTAGGCAGCTTWAGATCATAAAGACACAATTGTAAACATGGTGGACTTACACATCTGTGGAAAAATTAAACATTATTCTATTAAGCAACACTGTAAATAGACTGTACTTATATGGTGCCTTTCTATCCAACCAGGATACTCAAAGAGTATCCTCTACAATCAGTGTCCTCATTTAACCTTTCACACAGCACTCTGTTAGATCCCACTACAAAGCTAACATGTACAAATCAATCTATAGAGACTAATCAGTGCTTTTAAATCACACTATCAGAGGCAGTGAGGGTTCAGTGTCTTGCCCAGGGACACTTCGACATGTGACTGAATAGAGAGGAATCGAACCGCCAACTCTCGCATTGGAGGAACGACTCCCCAAACCACTCAGCCACAGCTGCCCCAAAATGAGGTTTCTGACTGGTTCATGACAGCTAACTTTATCACTGCAGTCCATTTCTACTTTGATCCTCTGTTGTTYATTTAAAATCTTCTTTTTTTTCATTCTAGTAACAAAATCTCTAACTACGCTATCGAGTGTAGTATACAAAGAAATTAATTAAATGTTAAATTGAATTTTACTATACAGAACTGATCATGTCAAACAAAAGTTCACCTATGCATTAAAACTGAACTAATTCTGCTCAAATTAAGATAAGATGCAAAATCTAGGGCTTGGTTATCAGCACATCAAACTTGAATGTAACAATGAGTGAGTTTAAATGTCATCCACAATATTACACATTTCATAATATTAGCTATGTGTGATATTGTTTAATTTTTATTATACATTATTTAATCCCCCCATCCCACCCAAAAAACAAACAAAAAAAAAACATACAGTGGGGAGAACAAGTATTTGATACACTGTTGATTTTTCAGGTTTTCCCACTTGCAAAGCTTGTAGATGACTGTAATTTTTATCATAGGTACTCTTCAACTGTGAGTGATGGAATCTAAAACAAAAATCCAGAAAAATACAATGTATGATTTTTAAATAATTAATTCCCATTTTATTGTGTGAAATAAGTATTTGATCATCTATCAACCAGTAAGAATTTTGGCTCTCACAGACATGTTAGTTCTTCTTTAAGAAGCCCTCCTGTTCTCCACTCATTACCTGTATTAACTGCACCTGTTTGAACTGGTTACCTGTATAAAAGACACCTGTCCACACACTCAATCAATCAGACTCCAGCATCTCCACAATGCCCAAGACCAGAGAGCTGTGTAAGGATATCAGGGATAAAATTGTAGACCTGCACAAGGCTGRGATGGGCTACAGGACAATAGGCAAGCAGCTTGGTGAGAAGGCAACAACAGTTGGTGCAATTATTAGAAAATGGAAGAAATGCAAAATAACRGAAAATCTCCCTCGGTCTGGGGCGCCATGCAAGATCTCACCTCGTGGAGCATCATTGATCTTGAGGAAGGTGAGGAATGAGCCCAGAACTACACRGCAGGACCTGGTCAATGACCTGAATAGAGCTGGGACCACAGTCTCAAAGAAAACAATCAGTCACTCTACGCCGTCAAGGATTAAAATCCTGCAGTGCACGCAAGGTGCCCTTCCTCAAGCCAACKCATGTCAAAGCCCGTCTGATGTTTGCAAATGACCATCTGAATGATCCAGAGGAGGAATGGGAGAAGGTCATGTGGTCTGATGAGACAAAAATAKAACTTTTTGGTAATTCATGTATCGTGAGATTTTGGCCAACAACCTCCTTCCCTCAGTAAGAGCACTGAAGATGGGTCGTGGCTGGGTCTTCCAGCATGATAACGACCCAAAACACACAGCCAGGGCAACTAAAGAGTGGCTCCTATGGAAACATCTTAAGGTCCTGGAGTGGCCTAGCCAGTCTCCAGACCTGAATCCAATAGAAAATCTTTGGAGGGAGCTTAAAGTCCGTGTGGCCCAGCGACAGCCCTGAAACCTGAAGGCTCTGGAGGAGATCTATATGGAGGAGTGGGCCAAAATCCCTGCTGCAGTGTGTGCAAACCTGGTCAAGAACTACAGGAAACGTCTGATCTCTGTAACTGCAAAGAAAGGTTTCTGTACCAAATATTAAGTTTCATTTTTCTGGTGTWTCAAATACTTATTTCACACAATAAAATGGAAATTAATTATTTAAAAATCATACATTGTATTTTTCTGGATTWTTGTTTTAGATTCCATCACTCACAGTTGAAGAGTACCTATGATAAAAATTACAGTCATCTACAAGCTTTGCAAGTGGGAAAACCTGAAAAATCAACGGTTTATCAGATACTTGTTCCCCCCACTGTACGTTTATGCTACGTTCAGGCCCAGGTCTGCCTTATAAATAAGATTAAAAATTTTCTAAGGCGAGTGAAATTCTATAAATTGATGTAAATTGATATATCATTAGCAGGCAGAACATGCACTCGTGGTACTTGAAACGCCTTTAGTTTACTGTGGTTCAAGCAGTCCTTTGTGATATTGCTGTTGAGCTCACCAATGTTGTGATAACAATAAATTTTGATATAATGTGCAGCGGTAATCTACGGCACTATTTTGTGTTTACCTCATACACAAAATGTCTGAAATGTTTCCATTCAGTTCCTGATGTCTTCTTGATACCTCACATCTGGCAGAAATACTTTGCCCGCTGAAAAAGACACAGACACTACCTGCAAAAAATAAAAAAACAAAAATTGAATAGGCTTTTGGGGAAAGTTATTACTATGTTTACCATTAATGCAGTAAAATCAGATTATATTGCAGCCTCACTCAAGTCACGTTTWAACAGCTTAGATCCAATGTATTCAATTTCTTATTTGGTTTTTTGAAAAACTCTATACTACAATCTAGGTACGAAACGTTAGCAAAAAAAWACATTATTTTCTTTTGATAAGCAATGACATACTTTATGACAACACAATCACATTCCTAACATAGCTTGAAACAATACCCTTGACCTGAAGCTGTGGTTTTCGGTATGTGCTACTAACAGATAACTCAAATATCTAATACTTTATTTATTGTCCTTATAAAATACTCACGGATACAAGAAAAAAAAAGCAAAAGCACCTGGTTTTAAATACCAACATTTTCCACCATAAAATGTATATGGATTGCACAAAAGTTAGCTGAGACTCGAAGCTTAATGTTCTCTATCTGCAGGTTATTCAACTCGTAAAGCATTGGGACTTGAAACTAATGTTAACTTGCGTCGTGGGACAAAAATATGCCATTGCTTGACGTGGTATACCATCAAAGCCTGGCTGTCACGATTTATGAATATGGAGCTTTTGCCAACTTGCTACATCTGTGTTAGCAGCTACGCTAACGTCGGCTTCTTCTGAATATTAGCTACAAAGCTAACCAGTCTGAGCTAACTTAGAGAAAACTACAATGAAAAACAGCCATTTACAGTGAGATATACCGTAAATAATTTGATATTTGACTGATATACTTACTCTGATATTAAGTAAAACAGATCCTTATATCGATTTCTGAGTGTTTTCGGGCGTCGTACTGTCACTAGCTGCTTGCTAATCACGTCCTGCTACATCACACGTTCATGACGTCATGACGCAGAGGACAGGAAATGATGAGCAGCTAGAATGGTACAACTCAACACAAAAGTAGCAGTAAGCTTTGACTGAGGTAGCGAAGCACGAACTTTTATTGGAAAGTAATTTGAGTTCTTATTACTAAAACAAACTGTTTTTGTTTTGTTTTCATTTAGCAAATTGCCCTGCAGAGTTCAGTGACCTGTTGATTTAACTGAATTAATGYCTACAACAACAGTGTTATGACACAAAAAGAAAAAAAATGTGTAGGTCTTCTGGACGGGTTCTTCTCTAATGAAACATTTTGTCTCTTCTCCAAGAGACTTCTTCAGTCTGAGAGTTTCAGGCAAAATTCAGGCTTTTAAGCACTGCCTCCGTGTGACTGATACTCACATCACATGGCTATCGTTGACACCTAATTAACACTTATTGTTAACAGGGGGTGGAGTGATACTGGCAACGGCCGCCCTGTAGGAGGGGGACAACTGAAATGCTGTTAAGTGCCAGGAGGACTGCGACCAGTTATACATCGGGGAAACAAAGCAGCCACTGTTCAAAAGAATGTCCCAACACAGACGAGCTACATCTAATGGCCAGAACTCTGCAGTTTTCACTCATTTACAGGCCAGCGGTCACTCTTTCAGAGATGAGGATGTTCTCATTCTTGATAGAGAGGAACGTTGGTTTGAGAGAGGAGTAAAAGAAGCCATTTTTGTGAAGAAAGACCGTCCATCATTAAACAGAGGTGGAGGCCTCCGTTTTCAGTTGTCCCCCTCTGGCTATTGCCAGTATCACCCCACCCCCTGTTAACAATAAGTGTTAATTAGGTGTCAACGATAGCCATGTGATGTGAGTATCAGTCACATGGAGGCAGTGCTTAAAAGCCTGAATTTTGCCTGAAACTCTCAGACTGAAGAAGTCTCTTGGARGAGAGACGAAACATTTCATTAGAGAAGAACCCGTCCAGAAGACCTATACAATTTTTTTCTTTTTAACATGAAGAGAAGCTATAGCTTGCAATACTAGTATTGCAAGCCGTTGGGGCCATAAATCGGGCGTATATTTACGTGCAAATCGTAACGCGCGGTGACGTAAATAACGTGCGAACGCGCGGTGGCGTTACGCGCGGTGGGTTAGGGTAGAAAACGCCACCGTACGTTATTTAACGCCACCGCGCGTTAGGATTTGCACGTAAAAACACGCCTGATTTATGACCCCAACGGCTTGCCATATACTAGCATGCCCCCCACCGCACACGTGCACGAGTGTATGTCTGCGCGCGAGTGTGCATGTGTGTGTGCATGCGTGTGCCTGCAGTGTTTCAGTTGTTTCACTGTTTTGCTGTACTGAAAAAATGTTTTATGTTTTCAGTCGCCAAGAGGACTCTGGACTGCCGAGTGTATTGGACCAAATTGAGGAGGTCGTTCTTGCATCACAGGGTCTGCAGGACCTCTCAAAAACCTTGAAAGACCTTGTTCAGTTTGTGCAGGCCAATCAGCACACAGCACTGTGCCTTAATGAGAATCAGGCTGCAGCTGTGAGAGCTGCTTTTTGCTTGCATCATATGCAAAGGTAATTTTATTGATTTTAGGTTGCTATGCAGAATATTATTTTGATGATTGTGTTAAGTATTGTCTATACCAAGCAAATTAAATGTAAAAGTTGTTTAAAAAATATTGTACAATGTTGCAATTATACTAACATCTTACCCATTTTTCTGTTAAATACAGATCCTATGAAGGAGCCGATGTTTGTGGACTGCTGCAGAAGTCTTCTTGGATGCCAGCCTTGCTTGCTGCAGTGGCAGGAAAGCCATACTCACTGTCCAAAGTGTCGTGGGGAGGATTTTGAATTCCACATCCACTCAGTTGTGGGGCTGGATGATGCAGTCGCTGCTCTGCGCRACATCATTTGTTGAACAGGTTAATATTGTTAACTATGTTCAGGTTTGTTAATAATAATACAGTTCCAGTTTATTATACTTGTAAAGTACCGTTTTAWACAAAAGTTTTCTGTTTTCTGCCAAGCTGAGCGAGCAGCAGAGTGTTTGGTCAGTGTTTTTTATTAGCTCTAACAAACGTCCTAACTAAACAAGTTTTTTTTTTATTTTTGCTTTATTTATTTTTCATCACAACATTAAAAACGGAGGCCTCCGTTTTCAGTTGTCCCCCTCCTACAGTGCTGCTATTGCCAGTATCACTCCACCCCCTGTTAACAATAGGTGTTAATTAGGTGTCAACGATAGCCATGTGATGTGAGTATCAGTCACATGGAGGCAGGGCTTAAAAGCCTGAATTTTGCCTGAAACTCTCAGACTGAAGAAGTCTCTTGGAGGAGAGATGAAACGTTTCATTAGAGAAGAACCCGTCCAGAAGACCTATACAATTTTTTTCTTTTTGATTTTTTACCTGGATTACTGAGATGCATCAGGACATCACAATATTGTTTTATGACATTGGGGAAAATTTGTCTTACGTTTATAATAATGTTCAAAAGTTTGTTTTGCACTGAAACTAAATTTCTGTCTTTTTTATACACTGTAAATGATCATTTTGGATTAATTCACAATCACCACTTATTTCAAATGTGTGAATAATTTTATTAAATTTTTCACACCCTCTTTAACATTTCATACATGTCTCTCTGTCACATGGAGCAGGCAGAAAAGTGCTTCATTGAAAATACTGTAGTCTTTGTTGACAACACTATCAAAAATTATAGACAAATCTGGGTAAGCAGCCCCAAACTCCACCCCTTGCCAGGCTTCTTCTTAGTTATGAAATGGGTCCACACCAAAGGTTGACTTTGTTCGCAGAGAAGATCCCAAATCTTGCTGATAGTGGTGATGTACATCCCCAACTTCTCATTTTGGTCCATGTGCAGCTTGTGGCCTGCATACTCTGCATGGTAGGGGATGGGGTTCAGATTACGGGCACCCTGTGAAGTGGATACATATTATTAAAAATCTTTTATGAAAAGCAGTGATTGATATTGAGTTGGTACACTGTTTAATATAAAATTGCCAGTTTCACTCACATGTCACAAATGATGGTAAGGCTGGTGCACCTCTAAGACCCTACCGACTCTGGTTTCTCCAGCATGTATTCCAAAAGATGACAAGTAGCCCGTCGTAAATTTTTGTCCGTAGGACGGTCCTGTCTAACACACACACAAATGTAATACATGATCTGATGTACTGCAGTCAAACCAGTCAACATTAGCTCTCTTAAATATTGACATGGTCCATACATGGTGCATTACAACAAGAGAAACAGAAAGTGCCTCTGCAGTCAAAAAACAATGAGAGAAAATGAGATGCATAATTATAAACAATGTACATTTATGCCATACTTAATACTTTCACATACCTAAAATATATCAATAATAAAAGTCATAGTTTTAYTGTAGATTTAGGATAAAACAGCAACTCAAAGTACCTCAAAATGCTTCTTTCAGGTTGCTTTTCTATAACCTCTTATTCAAAATGAATATTTCATGTTCAGTGTTACAAAGAAATTTACATTTATTTGTTAGATGGCTGTTTTTCTTAAAAGGTGTGCGTGCGCGCACACCTTTGCGCACACCTTTTAACACACACACACACACACACACACACACACACACACACACACACACACACACA